TCAGTTAGGAGTTGTAATCTTTGCTTATGTAAGTAGCTGTTGTTAAATACTTACATGGTCATGTATATTTAAGTTTTTATTAATCTTACTTTAAGATTTAGTTGAATAAAAGCAAGTCTAAACATATTGGAAAAACCATCAGATCTGTGAACTAAAATTGAAGGACTATTACATAAAATTCTTAGCTACACAGTTAATCTTTGAATATAGCCCACCAAGTGAGAACCAAATTCCTTTAAGAAAAAATGTATAGGATATACTCTGTAAGTTATTTATTTGAGGCATATAATTCCCTGTACAAATGTAGTAAAAAGTAATCTATCGGTATTTTGCTAAATCGGGGTTTATCTGACTTAATTCATCCCTGAGAAGATATTAGACTATCCCATGAATAATGAAGGAGGTGATAGTAGAGCAGGAGGCCACACGGTGAAAAACTGAGAATATTCACCAATTGACAATCATTAGTTCAGCAAGTAAGATAATTTTTGCATGTTGAAGACATTTATTATCATGAGCATTTAATATGAATCTATAGAATTTTTTTTCTGTGAAATGTGGGTTTGTGTTGTAAGAGAAACTATAAAACTAGCTATACTTTTTTTTTCAGATTGAAGGTAGAAGATATAATGGATGTTTTCAGTTGAATTTCTGTTCTAGATCTAGTATAGTGGTTTTCAATCCTATTTTTACCACTTCAAACAACTCACCTGTAATAGTAGCTCACTATGGCTACGGTTCTCAAATCTTGAGAGAGTATTGGCAAGAGAATTTAGAATCCCAGAGGAGGGCTGTCTACTTCGGAAAAAACAAACCAAACCAAAACCAACTAACAAAAAACAACTCTGGAGAGGCTGAAATGTCCACCGAAAAAGCTGGACTAACCAATTGGATAAATTCCTCATAAGGAATTTAAATGTGAAATTTACCAGTATCAAATGGATTATTGTATGAATGTTTCTTATTCCACCCATGCCTATATAAAGATGGTTATTGGCTAATTTCCTATGCTTACTACTTGTTCAGCTTTGCTAATAAAATAACAGAATATGTATCATTTTGAATAGCTTATAAAACATTGATACAAAAAGTTAGGAAGGACTAAAATATGTTGAGGTTTAGCACTCATTCTTTCTTCAGAATATGAAACAAGAATTCATTTAAATTCAAGCTGTATATATGTTCCTTTACATTTTGATATTGTACAGACATAGGTAAATTATGTTGTTCATTTAAACAAGTTAATAAGTTTACTCAGGGTAGCCCAAAATACATTGAGTCATACTTTAGTATTTCTCTTTTGCTAAAAAGCATGCTGTGCCACTAGTGAACAGACCAAGCCCTCATATTACTTGTCTTCAATAAAACATTATTATCTTTTGGCATCCTCTTGCACTAGGGGAAATAAAAAGTCACATGTGGAGAAGTTCTAAATGCTAGACAGAAATGATCCTTGGAGGGCAATTTTTATCCTCCGCGGAAGTATTGCAGACTTCTTCCATTAGTGTAGTCCCAGGGAGCAAAAGGTTAGGGAACTGGGGCTGCCAGCTATACCTGAACAAATAAGTCAATATTTCCTCAAAGGGGTGAGGGAGCATGAGGGTGCGCTCACATGTGCATTAAAGTATCTGAGACGAAAAACAACAATTGTAATATTTTACGTTGAAATATACTGTACAGATGGTGACGTTTTGTTTGTGGTTGTAAGGAAGAAAGGACGGCAGTTTCCAGGTTCCCCCTTAACACCTACCATTTGGCATAGGCTATGGGAGGTTGAAGAAAGCGGAGGGAGTTTTGCCTCAGTTGAAACAGCTGGGAAACAGATGGAAGCTAATGTGAAATTGGCCAAAAGCCTCATCCAAGCCTCCCACCCGTTTTCCACCTAAGAAAAGCTAGTCAGGTGATAGTAGCAGAGGCTTCAGGGTCAGAAAATGATAGGCTTTGGCAATGGTAAAAAAAAAAAAAAAAGATCTAAACACCCAAATTTATAGGAATTACAAGTTCAGAAATTAATTCCCAGGAGCATGGTTTTAATAGGAGTGAAAAAGTGGGAGCATTGTGGTGAAACCCACAATAGAATCACAGATACAAGGATAAAAGTGTGCACAGTATTCATTGGCACTGCTGCTGCCTCAGCTACATGGACATTCTCTCTCTTAGGTGATCATGTGAAGAGCCACACCAACTCTTCATCATATTAATTACAATTTAATTATTCCATCTGTGATTATTATAAATGTAAGTATGCATAGTTCCATTTTAGTCACTGGATTGTACTTGGTGAGCAATTGTGGTTTAGAATTCAGACATTCAGTAGGTTGCCTTTGGACTTAAATGTTGAATGGTAGCCAGACTTTTGTTTAAATCCAGTCACTGGATGTATAATCCTCCTGTTACATATTCCTAGTTACAGTGGGAGTATATATAGGCTCATTACATGCAACTGTTTGTCCTTCTGAGCATTGGCTCACATTCTGTCTGTTTGTGTCTGCGTTTGTGTGTGGGGGAGTGGTATCTGTGAAGTACTTTGGAAGACTGCAAAAGGAGATAGGTTTCAAAGAAACAAAAATAAATACAAGTTAATAACTTTCCTCAATATGAATTTGTTCATTCATGCTTACATAAGGGAATGTGCTAACCATGAATCATTCAGATTGAATTGCTCATGAGAAAAAATGCTCTGGTTTTGCTGTCTGTTTCCAGCATTGCTTTCCTGAAGGAAAAGAGTATTGTCCCCACATAAAGAATAATCAGCCACAGATTTCAGACTGAGTGCGTCTCCAATTGGCAAAAATTCTTGTGATTCACGTGAGAACGTGGATCCTTGTGAGAGGGACTTATTATCTGAATATTCTGTGCTGTGACTGAATTTGCGGTCTGCCAGAACAGCCAATGGAAAAGTAAAAAAAAAAAAAAATTTAGTCAACTGGAAGTTTTGCTCACACAATGCCAGAATAGCTAAGTGCTTCCAACGACAATGGATCTTGGTAAATCCGTAGCTTAAAAAAAAAGAGAGAGAATGATGGACTGCAGTTTCCACTTAGAGCCAGGTAAGTTGGCGTCGTATAAATATGGTCTACCTGAGAGTTCACACATCATCCATTACATAACTCAGCTGATCCCAATGACTTCTTGTAAAATGCAGTCAGCCTGTGTGTGACATATCACAAACCACTTTTTGTGCTGAATAAAGCCCCATATGTCCTGCCAAGGTACGGAGCCAGTCAACAAGGGGATAAGTGACAAGACCAGAAATGTGGTGAGAGAGTTATGAAGAATTTCAGACGTTGCTAGAGCACCAGTCAGTGAGACATACTCTGTGATCCATCAGAGGACAAGTTAACGGCCAGTGTGCCAAAATCTTGATGCAAACCTATTGCTGCTGCTGCTACTAGACCTAGAAAACTTCACATCTGGCCAGCTTAGATTCTGGTGAGAATCAAAGAAAATCGTTTACATTAGTCTGCCTTGTTTAGTGGATTTCCATTTATACAAAGCCCTCCTTACTTCACGTAGGCTTCCCCCTGACAGACATAAAGAATAAAGAAACCCGAAAAAAAAAATCTGTTTTTTTTATCTTGGCATACTTAAGCATCACTGGATTAAAAAAAAAAAATGATGTATCTAAAAAGATTCTTTACAAGCCATACCATATTATGTTTGTCAATATAAAAAACAATTAAAGTATTTGCCTTTGTAACTATTGGTTAAGCATCATGCTTTCTACATCATTTCTCTTGTTCGTGCTCATAGAAGACTTATTTGTACTCCCATTGGATGGAGACATCACTAGTTGTGTGCACATGCTCAAAAATAATTTAAAAAAACTGAAGTACTTTTCAAGAGGGCATAAACATTCTACTTTATCTGATTATGTTATTTTACCAAGGATAAATTTGACATGAATTACTAGAACTGGGTATGATTGCCTTTGATTCGTGTACGTGAAATATTTTTTCATTATAGAAACATACTCTGTTCTTTGGTATAGTTATGACTTCTAACCTACATGGGAGAGATAGTATGAAGGTATAAGAAATATTCCTGTTAATTATCTCTTGAACCCTCAAGAAAAAAAAATGGAATGATATGCTCTAAATTATTGTTATTTCTACATGGCCTTATAAGACTTGGTGTTGTGGGCAGCTGATGTTACTTATTGTGCATCTTATATTTATCTCATATATAATAAAAAGAAAACATTTTAAAACTCTTCATTTATTAAGTTGTATGAACATAATTTTATTTATAAAGATTCCATGTTATTTTAAGTATTATACAAAATAAAAGAGCATTGTTATTACCTTCAAGGGAGATTTTACCTAAATAAGAATAAAAATATCACTAAGTGCACACATATATTTATGTATGCTTAATCTGAACTTCAACAGGCTTTTATGGTCCTATTGCATTCAACTGGCCCTAAACATTTGGATTGCTCAAATAGTTATATGTTGAATTGCCACTATTTTTTAGGTTTATTCCTTTCAATCCTACTTAAAGCTTAAGTATGTGAGCTAAGCCACTTATTAGAAAAAAATCATATCTAAGATTGTTTCCTAGAGAGGACTTAGTTTGTAATTATTATACTAGCATATAATTTTTACTCATTTTTTGTAAGAAGAAAATTAGACAATTCTCTAATTAGGCTGTGAGTTAGATGAGGGCAGATAAAAAATAAATAAGAAATAGACCTCACCCTGTTGAGGTGAGACAGATCTTACCGTCTTTGATCTCTATGTCTCCTGGAGCACAATACCTGGGAAAGTAGTTACTTAATAAACATTTCTGGTAAGACAGATTGAGTGTATTAGAATGAATGAATGAAGTCTAATCTTCTCTTTCTTTTTTTCAGACTCCCAGGAAGGAAATTATAAGTCAGAAGTCAACAGCAAACCCAGGAAGGAAAGGACAGCCTTTACTAAAGAACAAATCAGAGAACTTGAAGCTGAATTTGCCCATCATAATTACCTGACCAGACTGAGACGATATGAGATAGCAGTGAACCTGGATCTCACTGAAAGACAGGTAAAGCTAGAAGTTGCCAATAGATGACCTTTTTTTGATTGCTTTGGGTCAACAATTTTCTTTTGCCATTTTTGAAATATCTAGATCTACGGTTCCCAAAAACCAGTTGGAAGATAGGTGCACTATTCCATAATACAGTTTTGACCCAGCAAAGTGACAAAAATAAGAATAATACAGTGATGTTTAAAACAAAGCTATATTTATCGCAGTTAAGGAACTATCCTTTATTCTGAGATTATGCCCTTTCTATATTTTTTGGTTTTAAAATATTATCTCTTTTTTTATAATGATGATACATGGTGGGAACTTTTCTTCGCTTATATTTTAAAATCTCCTTACTTGGCACAATAAAAAGTTGGCAACCTCATGTTCATTTCCTGTATTTCTCAGGATAGGATATGGTATGTTGCAGTGGCAAATTAACCCCAAATCAACAATAGCATAACATAAAAGAAAAAGTGTATTATTTACTCACTTTACATACTAACTCTACAAGTTCAGCACTCCAAATAATCACTCACAGACACTTTCAGACTCTCTGGAATCTCTACATGTAATCTGGATGGTAACTACAGGAGGTAAGAAGGAGTTGGAGGCTCATGCACTGACCTTTAAATGTTTTCACCTGGAAATGACCCACGTCATATTTACGCTCTAATGTAAAAAAAATGGTCAAATGGTCTAGCTTAGGCTCAAGGAGGTGGAAAATAATGGGGTAAGGGGCAAATAGATCATTGGTAAGTATTTCTGCCCCATTAACCAAAATATTTTTGAAACTGTATTGGTCTTAGAAATTCAAAATTCCAGTACCCACTCATTTAGAGAACACTTTGAAATTATTAATGATCTATGGACCTCAGTTAATAAGAGATAAATAATATAGGTCACTTTCTTGGATTTCATTTGAATGCCCAATGATTTGCTCCAATACTGGACAACTTGCTTTTTGCATAGATTCTGATTTGCTCTAGGAAAATCTAACCTACTGATAGTTAACAGTTGCTAATCTTTAGAAAAACATGCTTGAAGGAGAAATGCAAACATTTTTATGGACAGTGCAGTGATGATTGGCACTGATAGGGCTAGAGTCTTATTTCTTCTCTCACTGTATGTACTTCCACAGGGATCCCATTGAAACCAAAGAAACAACAGGGTGTGGACAAATAAATACATATTTTAGAAGAGCAAGTTATTCTATCCAATTTCTTAAATCATCTGCTTTCCTTCTGTTGATTTCTGTATTTCAGCTTTTGGTAGGATGTTTCTGGGTAGTGGAAATATACAGAAGAACACTTTTAAGTGGTTTTATTCATTGGCAGTTTATATACTGTTCAATATCATGACTAATACCTAAGTTATTGCGCACAACATTTTCCTTCCCTTGAAGTTTACATACAAAGTTTCCTCCAGAAGTGTACAGCACTTGTATGCTCAAAAGCAGGATCCAAAATCTACATCATCATACATCTGCTGTATTTTTTTTTAACTGGGATGAAGAAAAAATAGAAGGGTATTACACACTGATGGTTTGCTATAAGGACAGTGAGCTCCAGGAAATGTGACCATGTTTTGTATAATACATTAAGTAAATTGCAAACTAGGGTTTGTTTCTAATCTGTAGAAATGGTGGAAGACCAATACTCTACTCTCAACCAAGAGAAAAGTCAAGACTATGCTGCTTATCTGGGATGGTCTATAGTTATCTATCATTATCTGGTTATAGGGCAGAGGTTTCACTTTTATGTCTAAGAATATCTTCTTTTTACAAGCAGTTCTGTAAATCTGGTTCAGGGACTATGAAGGCATTTTGGGTATTTTCTCTTTCTTCCTAACTGGTTCACCATGCTTAGAAACAAATTGCGTGCAATTATATACAAAAACTACATGCACATATATTATGGATTGAATTGTGTCCCCCAAAAATCTATGTTGTAAAAACTATTATAAGTTTGGTTAGTATCCTATTTGAATGAGTTGTCTTTGTTACGTTTATGAGGCAGGATTAGTGTAGGGTGTGTCCTGAGTCTATCTTTTTTAAGATAGAAAAGCGATAAAGAAGCAATCAGAGCAGAGATGGGGAAGACTGATGCCAAGCCACATGGAAATCTTGAAGGAACCAGGAAGAGACACGGACCTTTCCCCAGAGCCAACAGAGGGAGAAAGGCTTCCGCTAGACCTGGCGCTCTGAATTCGGATTTTAAGCGTCCTAAACTGTGAGAAAATAAATCTCTGTTTGTTAAAGCCATCCACTTGTGGTATTTCTGTTACAGCAGCACTGGATAACTAAGACAACATATATACATACAAACATACACAGACACACAATTTTAATCTTTGTTTTTTAAAAAAGTCCCTTTTTAATTTTGTATCAGTTAGCCTTTGCTGTATAACAAACCACCCAACAACCTCCAATTTCTTTGCTCACAATTTTGTGAGTCAGGGATTGGGATTGGCTCAGTTAGAGTTCTTCTGCTGGTTTGACCTAGATCATTCATGCAGCTGCAGTCAGCTGGTGGGTTAATGAAGAGTTTATTGGCTCCAGGCAGCCTCATTTGGGAAGCTTGTCTCTGTTTCATGCGGTTTCATCTACTAGTAAGCTAGCCTGGGCTTTCTCATAGGACAGTAGAAACATTTCCAACAGCCATGAGAGGAAGAACAAGCTCTACTGTGCAAGGGCTTTTCAAGCTTCTGCTTACATCATACTTACTAACATCCCACTGGCCAAAGCAAGATTTGTGACCAAGCTCAATGTCAGTCTAGGAGGGAACCACTTAAAGGACTGGATACAGGGAGCCTAGATTCATTGGAGGCCATTACTGAAAAAAATCTAACCACAGCTTCATAGGACAAAATAAAGCCAAAAACTTGAGAGATAATTAGGTTTTCAAAGAATTGATACTGTGCAAGAAAAAAAAAAAATCATATATTTCTATTTGCAGTTTTCAATTTAGTATGAAAAGGATACGTATACATGTAAAATCTAAATTCAAAATCAAAACTAAGTCTTTAGAGGGCCACTGTGGTTAGTCTACAAGATTTGAATTTTTATAAGAAAAATCTGAGTAGAAATCCTAGATTTGACGCTTGGAATTGTGTATTCTTAGGTAAGTAACCATCTCCCCAAGGTACATAATTCCCATTAAAACTTTCTGTTCTTTTTCTAATTAGGTTTATAAGTCATAATAGATATGAAAGATTTTTTTAATATAAGCTATAAAACACAGCTATCACCCATGGGGGGAATCTTGCTATGTATGTTGCATTAATTCTTTTGTAACCCAAATATTTGTTGAGTTAGGTGCTGAACATGCAATCTTGTTAAACACAAGCTAGACAAGTCTGTGCTAGAATTCATAGAAGAATCAAATATTGAACAAATATCAACAATTGTGATGAGTGTTCTGTGTCACAAGAGAAGAATGACAGGATTATATGGGAGAATGTTTCTGGTTATGCCAATATTCATTAAATGCCTACACTTCCGTGCACATGCATTATCTTAAAATAAGATTCTGGAAGCTTTACTTATATTTTCTGAACTGAGTTTATCAGGAAAAAAAATTATTCTGTTCTGCCAATCATCAATTTTGCTATTCTTAAAGGTAGGAGGACATATTCCTCCAAGATGCCAGGGCTCTAGTCCCAGTGAAATATTTTCAGTTTATTTTCTGAAGGTTGGGCTCTTAGAGACATGTAGTTAAAAACAAACCATTTTTATTCATCTTCTTTAAATTTGGATACAGCTATTCCATTACTTAGATTTTGCATTAATGTCATACATGCTTTATCTATGTAATCCATATCTTGACCATATATTTCCCTAAATAATACATGTTGTAGGATTTCCACATGTAAAATATTCTGATTAAAGATATACACTTTTAAAATTTCCATTCTTAATTTTCCCAGACTTTAAAATAGCATGAGATTTAGTAAAGTAACTTAAATGAACACACCAAAGAATATAATATAGAACTCTACATCGTTTAATGTTTTCCTTAGCTTTAGTAGAATTCTCTAAATCTCCTAAAATATTCTTGACTTTGTAAAAGTCTTTCAAAATATTCAAATGCAGAGGTAAAATTAATAAGTTATAATGTAAAGGGGAAAGGGACCAATATTAAAACATTTTGATTTATAGCAGAATTGTTTTACAGAAATAATTTTCTCCTTAATAAAAACTTATTTTATAATCATTAGTAGTTTTTACAAATACTTTCATCTAGAAATTTTATGTGGTTGCCTATAAAATATGTATATGTATAACAGATATGTTATATGTAGACACTTTGGTTATATCACCAATCAGAATTCCTGTCTCACGTTTTATGATGGACCGCATATTTGTCATGAGAAAGATTTGCAATAATAATGACTATATCCCCTCTTGTGAAAAAAAAATAGATATGTAAAACCCTTAAGTATCACTCAGACTTCAAATATTCCAACTTCCTTCATGAAGAATCATCATAAAATGTCACAATGATGCCAGACTCTTGTATTTGTGTCTTCCATAATGCAAAATCTTTACATATCAAGGAAGTCTATAATTCCCTTGAACTCCATCTGCATAAGAAAAAGAAGAAGATAATGAAGAGGTTGAGCCTTCAAAGTAATTCCATGTTAGCATATAGGTATTACAGAAAATTGTTTTATGTTAAATAAACATGGAGACCCTAGAACAAAATTGAGTTTCAAATATTATTAAATATATAATGTTGTTTTGTGGAATTGTTACCACTCTAGTAATATTCCAGCATCTGTGTCCCTTACAACACATTGCATATATTCATCTCAATCACAGCTAATAATCCTCAATTGGTGGGGCCATTTAGAATATTTTGAAGAATGAGTCAGTCTAAAGTCTAAAAATAAGGCTCCAGGAATTGATGGAATATCAATTGAGATGTTTCAACAAATGGATGAAGCTCTGGAAGTGCTCACTTGTCTATACCAAGAAATTTGGAAGAGAGCTACCTGGCCAACCCACTGGAAGAGAT